TTTCCACCCCCTTTAGTGTCTGCCCCAAGGTCATTCACTTTATTGCAGCAAGAAGAAAAAGATTAGCAATAATGGGGTGAGTTCTGCAATTCTCCACGAGTGATTAGGTTAGGAGAAGAGTATAGCTAAGCTGATTCCTTGTCAGAGTTCAAGGGCAAATCCAGTCCAGGCAGCAGGGAAAGCTATCATTTTGGGAAGGGCAAATATTTATGCCAACACCTGCAACTGTGTTGTCTAAAAAGTAACATCATTACTGTGACGGTCAATGCGATGCATATTTCTGAATGGAATGCCACATTCTGTGGTACAACCTATCTCAAAAAATCACTTAAATCTATTGATGCACCGATCAAACTTTTCCTCTCGCAATACCAATTTCGATACCTTCGCTCGGGGTCATCTGCTGATACTGAGTCCCAATTACATGCAGAAGCCCTTCTTTGTTTGAAATCTTTCTAACTCACAGCATGAAACTCATTGGAATATTATTTCAAGTAATTGAACTTGAAACCAGGGATTGTCTAAAACTGAAAATTGAGTCTGGTTTGTGACTGAATGACTGATGGCATAAAGTGTATTTTCATAACGACATTGTATTTACTTTTGGACACTTTTACCAAGATTTGTAGATGAGTTATGTCAAGGCTGCCACTTATCATATCGGTGCATCCCTGAAACCCAGGACATCTCTAAAACCTGTGATCATCTCAAGCATTGAGTCATGCAGGTGCAAGAATCTACACATCACATAAATGAAATCAATGCCACTGCTTTTCCATATGTGTAGTCAGCAGCAAATGATTATGAACATGTGTTAAAAAGCCAACATTTAAATAAGATTGCTGAAAAGGTATATTTGATAAATGAAACTGATGTTCAGTCCCTAACAACTCACATAAAACATCTGGATTCATGCTGGGCCAAATGTCAACATGACACAGATGGCCAAAAAACAAAAAAAAACATCAATTGAGGTTACAAGGATTCAGTTTCAGCAGGCATTTCAATAAGTACATAAGCTCTAGTCCTGGCTGAACTAACCACAGTATATCCACTAAACCTGTTCTAAAAAATGAGATATAAGGGGCTCAAAATGATGATCCTTTTTTTTTACCTATAACTGAGGCTCCTCTTTCAGCAAAAGCCAGTGCATATTCTCTGCCAAGGCCTGCAGAAAGAAAGGCAGATTAGTCTACAGAATGAAACACACCCATCAATATCCACAGTTATCAGGGGGAACATACGAGGTAAATAGTGGAACCAGGGCCCCACAAAACCTGGAATCAAAACATTGATTTGAACTGTAATACGGAAATTTTGTATTATTAGCATAAGTAAACCATTTATGTTGGCTGAATAAATAATTTGACATACCATTTCTTGTTGTGAAATTAAAAGCAGCCATGTCATAAAAAATAAAAATAAAAAATTAAGCTACCATGAGAGAAAAGACAGAAAACTAGAGCTCATAAACTGCATACTAAAAGTTATTTCAGACATTTTCAGGAGTTAAAACTGAAAGATTTGCAACACCAACATCAAGTAGTCTGTTTTATTGTACATTAGTTTATTATAGTGTTTTGATCTGTTTTAATGAGGGAAATAAACCTTCAGGATTATCAGATAGCTTTAATAACTAAGGCTGGGTTATTATCAATCAATTTGAAAATGACAGTAGTTTTTAATTCTTATTCTGTGATTTTAGATTTAATACATGTTACCTATTTTATATATCTAATGATCTTAGGGTTTCTAAAATTTTAATATGCTACTTCTATGTTGCAAAAGCCTGGCCAAGCACTTGTTGAAAACTAATTTACCTTAATTCTGCAAATAAAACACTACTCCAGTGAGGTCTTGTTTGACTTTCTTTTATTATGAAATACAGTAATCCTCTCTTGATGTAGGGGGTTAAAATTAGTGACAGAAAATCTCACAGTGAAAGCTTCACTTGAAATATCTCAACATTTCAGATTGTTCAGATACTCTTATATTTGTTTGAATATGTTCATTACTGACATGATAAGCCCCACAGATGCACTGGTTTACATACTTGGTTTATTGAATGGGTAATACGAGGCCCATATATTTGTGCTGGCCACTGACTGTGGGTTGTTGGTGGATGTGCCCTTTCACATACTTACAGTGGAATTATTTGGAGCCATTGCGTTAGGTGTACTTTGCTCTCTGCGTTATTCAAATGCAAAGACTGACAAACGTCTGCTGCTAGTCCAATTCATACAGTATTGGTCCTATAGCAACATCAACAAAGTTGTTTCATTGTTTCCAGGAGGTTCATAGATTGTTTATTTTAACGACTTTGCGACTTGCAGCTGTTTGGCCAGTGTTAGCAATCGGCAAGATACGAGATTATCTGCTGGGCAGCTCATACAACAGACAGAAATCGAGACTTGTGCATTCACTGTTTTTATCGTTTGCCTAACAGAGATCTACGTAACTAACAAGTTAGCATAAGGAGCTAACGTTACAAAGCCTATTTTAGCGTAGTTACAGTTAGCAGCAGTGACAGCCTAGCTAACGACCCGTTATGTTTGCACAACGTATTTACCTCCTCCGGCCCCAGTGACAAGAACGACTCTCCCCTCGAAAGACAAAGACATTCCTGTGGGATATTATTCTCTGATTCAGAACAGTAGCAGCACAGTGGCTACAGGACCAACACTGCTTTTCAGAGACAGCAGGGTGAACTTCTGTAACTTACACTTCCGCAATCACGAGGGGACGGACTCAGCAGTGACCAATCAGAAACCGGGATTTTATTAACCCTGTTTTTTACCACCGTTGAATTTACACATGTAGTCTTCTTTGAGTATGTTTGAATCACAGCTGCAACAACTAGTTGATTAAGCGATTACTCAGTACTGATAAAAACCTGTAACTATACTTACATTCTGACTGAAAAACTGTAATGGACATTTTTCACCATTTTCTTCATTTTATTGACTAAATGACCAATCGGTTAATCAAGAAAATAATCAGCAGATTAATTGATAATTAAAGTAATTGTTAGTTGCAGATTTTTTAGTTTTAATTCTTAAAAAATTGAATTCGTTATTTTATGAGCTTTCACCATTAACACATTCTGTAACTTTTCATTTTACAGCTGACAGATTTTTACCTTATTACAGCTCTTTTCACTATGTCTGCAACAAAATGAGAAAAACTTTTTTTTAAAGTGATGGTGACTATGATGACAATGATAAAGGCAGATGTAGTTACTATTCTGCCAGTGAATAAACTAACTAACTAACTAACTAACTAAACTAATGATTATCAGTTGTATTAAACTAATAAACAATTTGAAATTGCGTTTGAGCCCTTTAATAGGACTTGGGAATGTTAAAATTGTAAGAGGTTTAAACCTGATGTCTGATTGAAACAGTCACAGTGTAGCTGATCTTATTCCTCACAGTATATTGCATATCATCCAAATTATATTTCTGCAGAAAATTAATGAAAAAATGAAGTTCTCCACACAGCATGCTCAAGTTAACTTTACTTAGAATATTAGTATTTTGAGCTTAGATAGATAATAGATGCTGGTAGGTAAAACAAAACCATGGATGGACTACTGAACAAGCCTACAGGGCACAGGTCCAGGGGCCCAAGAGGTCAGGAGGCCCAGAAAGATACACAAAACAACCACAAGGTGCACAGCAACTACAAAGAGAAATGCAAAATAAAGAGACACAAAACACACAAAATGTCCATAAGAGACTCAAGATGAGCACAAAGACACACAAATAACCAGAAACGGACACAAAATGAACACAGATGCAAGGCTACCACAAAGAGACACAAAAATATGCACAATGACCACTAAGAGATGCAAAATGACCACCAAGAGATGCTAAGAGACCACAAGAGACACAAAACAACCACAGAGATGCAAGACAACCGCAAAGAAATACAAGGAGATGTGAAACAACCAGAGGAGAAAGAATATGGCCACAAATAGACACAAAACTGCAAAATCTATGCAAAATGACCAAAGAGAGGCAAGATAACTACATGTATAGCCTACACAAATGAAATAATTTTGTGTCTCTGAGTGTCCTATAGAGGAGGAGTTGGGGGCCTTTTACTAGTCTGTACCCAGGGGCCCATTTTCTCATGATGCGTCCTTGAACACAACAGTCCTCGTCATAGCACTAATAAATGGGGGACCTCTTCAACCCTGGCATGCCTGCGTTATGAAATGGGAACAAACTAACAGCAGCCGTGTCAAGAGAGAGAGAAAAAGAGAGAAATAGAGAGAGAGAGAGAGAGAGAGAGAGAGAGAGAGCAAGAGCAAGAGCATCCTCAGCGCCTGTACGTTGGCTGCTCAGACTCTCCAAGGAGGCTGCGATGGAGACAGGATGAAACTGACGGGGTGTTTTTCGGAGGAAAGTCCCTCTGGGGTGTCGGTACTTGGCAGTTTTCAGGGGTGTATCACAACCAGAACCGTATACTATTTGAGAAAAAAAGGGGACTGTATTACCATTTTGTCGATGCCTGAGGATTATGGACCATTAAAATAACGACCGACGGTGTAGCGGTTTGGATAACTGCCTGTGGACTCTTTCCTCCTGTTCTTCTCTTTATTTACTACAGTTAACACATTTTTTAACGTGTTAGTGTTTGGCCATTTCATTGAATTTAGCGCTCTTTCGACGTGAAGGATATTCCTGGCACGTCATCTTTTGTTGTTGCTGGACATAGACGTGTAAGGTGCACAAACCTGTGGACGGTTTCTCTCACAGTATGATACAATATTTTAACATAACCGTAATTTTTGGTGTTACGCTCTATTGCGCATGCCTAGTGGTAGATACACAACACTGCCCGACGCCACTTCGCTCCGTCCTGGCCGTGATGTAGGAGCAAAAGTAAAAGGGAGCGGAGGACTGAATAAAAATGCGTTGGCAAAGTGGCAGCGTGGCGACCAAAGGATTTGACCTGAGATCCTTCACGAAATAGACTGTGCCCGAAACTGAAGAATGTCAGGGACACCAAATGCAGACGCTGAAGGAGTAGTCTCCAAAGTACAAGTGAAAAAGGAGATCAAGACAATCGTGGAGAATTTGGAAACCATCCTGGGAGACCTCAAGGATGTAGCCAAAGAGCTCAAAGAGGTAAATGAACAGGAAACGCCATAAGACACCTTGCATATATGCACTAGTCTACCATATGATGTGTTACAGCTTTTATACAAGCTTGGTTTGAGGATGATCTTTCTAAGCATTCTTGTCTGAGAGGAGCTGGGAGGCTGATGTCCACCTCACTGGGGCCTGGAAACGGCTTTGACAATACACACACACACACACACACACACACAAACACAAAACATACAGCCTGTGCTCCTACCCACTAATGTATTTGATCATTATCTCCCATATGAGAGACATTTGGCACATCAGGATGTGGGGTGTGAAATGACAGGACAGCTCCTTCACCCTGACTCACAGGCTCTGATGAAAGTGAGAAAAATGTAATCACAATTAATATTTAATGGACAAGTTGGTTCAACCAGGAAAGCGCTTTTGCGTTGCATTTCATCATCTTAATGCTGACTGTTGTTTGCTGTGAATTATCTCTTGCCAAATAATAGAGCAGTTGTCTTTTCACTTCTCATCTCTCTCTGTATCTCGTGGTGTCTTCTCTGTTTCTTTATCTTCATCTTTCTCTGTCTTTTGTTATCTTCCACCACATGTCTGTATTTATCACAGCCACTCATCTTCATCCTTTCTTTATCTCATTGTTTGCTTTCCTTCGTCTTCCTCTCTCTACAGAGTCCTTGTTAAAGATCAAAACTCTCAGCTGTCTGATTGGTTATTCAAATCTCAGTGATGCAAAGACAGGGGTGCTGAATAGGAGTTGGGGGGGGGTCTCTCTGAAGGAATCGGGGATTATATGAGCATATTTAATGTTTTTATTTGCAGTAAATTGTTCTCAGAGCAAATAATATCTAGAAGCACCTCCGTGCAGAGGTTTTCTGTTTTCACGTTTCAGTGCTTGTTTCAAATCAGTGTTTCCTCTCATGCCAATCACTGAATCCTTTGCTGCTACCTCAGCTGTAATAACCTGCAGTCCTACCTGTTTTTTATGTTTACATTCCTCTACCAGCCACCAGGCACCTGGCCTGCTGTGCCAAACATCTCACCCTAACATGACAGGCTGTCATTCTAATAAAACCCTATTGCGTACAGCCTCTGGTTCCTACATTATGGATGGGCAGTCGACACAGCATCTGTCTCCTTCTGCCTCTCTGCTCCCCTTTTCTCAAGTTGAGCTGAATTAGACTTCTTTTGTGTTTTTCAGCAGTTTACAATGTCTCACAGCAGGCGCAAGAGATAAATGAGAACAAGAAGGCATTGTAATCTATGTTGTGATTTTTTTGTGATGTGCCCTTTCTTTCTTTCTTTCTTTCTTTCTTTCTTTCTTTCTTTCTTTCTTTCTTTCTTTCTTTCTTTTTTTTTGCTTGCAGGAAATTGTGTAGATGATCAGTTATTCTGACACTGCACACACTAAACACATACCTCGAGGGAGTTTTGCTATCAAAGCCAGTGTTTGGGGTATAATCCATTTGAAATGCAGTTATCTGTTATAACTCACAAACAGGGCTGGAGCAGAGCCTGGCTCTGAGGAGACACCCTGCCCAGATGCTTGGCATAGCCATTGAGGCTGCCTGGCCCACAGCAGGGCCTGCACACTGGGATACTGGTATTACCTCTTGTGTGTGTCCCAACAAATTATCCATTTAAAGACTGCATGGAGAGTTTAGCTCCATTGCCTTCTCTGCCCCTGCTCTATCTTTCTATTTATCTCTCCCTCTCAGTCACTCGCTCTCTGTTTCTCTCCTCATCACTCTCTCTCTTGATTTCTCTCTCAGCCTCTTCTCCAGCCACTGTTTGGACATGCATTTTAAACCCTTAGATGATAGCAATGGTGGTTTATAGTGGGCTCCTCTGAGATAAGCATCACTAATCCAGAAAATGAACATAAGCTCATTGTCATTATCGTAATTATTTTATGAATGTTGTAAAAGGAAATATATTAACTTTCTCTTTCTGATGAGTTTTCCTTGCAGGTTATTTCTACAGTGTTTCATCTATAGGATACTATGAACTCAGCTCATTTTATATTAGATTACACTCATTGACTGCTGGATCCTTAGTAATCAGGCAGCTAGTAATAAAATGTCCAACACCGCACTTCAATTCTGGGCATCAAAGCAATAATAACTCCACTAATGGAAGTAAACCAGTAAGGAACTCTTCTCCAATGGGAATATTTTTTGATAGACTTCAGGAAAATGGCTGAAGGACATGGACATTACATTACAGTACATCAGTTATTCATTCACAGCAGAGTCTAGCACCATGTGTATTTCCTTTTGTTAAACTGCTTTTTTAATTTCATTCCCCATGCTAATGGTTCCTTGGGCGATGTTTATTACATGTGCTTGCAATTTCAGTCCTTGCAGCTTCCATTATTGCCTCAGCACTGCACACATAAATGTATGGGAGAGTAACTTTGGCCATGGATGTGCCCACAGTGCAAGTGGACAAAATGCAATATGTTGTACATCAGTAGTTCACAACTAGAGGCATTTCACTTAATGGTGTGTGGCACTAATGTCACTGTTTAGTTCTGTAGTGGGTTCCTTGTTTTCCTTTTAGATTGGTTCATGTTGATTGGTGGATATTAAATCAAATTCAGCTGAGCACCGCAACCACAGTGTGTATGTATGTACTGTGTGTATGTTTTATGTATTGCCTCCACTTGTGCTGCTGCATCTTTACATCATTTTCCAGCGTTGCCTTTATGGTGCCAGCAAACCGAATTTCTGCTGCAACAGTTCTGTCATATTTCCCTATGCAGGCTGTGAAAACAAATTTCCTCTTAAAGGACAAAGGAAGTATCTTTCGATCTAAATATCTATCTACACCTGAGACAAAATATTATATTAATTTTTTTACTACAATGAGCTGAGCATCTCTGCCATTTCCTCTTTATTACAATTTTGTTTATTGTCCACATTTGGAATGACGGTCTACAGTGTATCGTATTCATAAATGATGTCACAGTCCTAGATTGCAAATTCATTCAAATATTTCAATAGTTCTTTGTTTAGCCCTGTTCCTTTCCCAAAAATATTCAATGGGCTATGCCACACTGCATTTCTTATGTCTTCTTTCCCACCCAGGGACACTATGTGCATTATTGCACCACTACAACTGACAGTATTTGCTCTTTCAGATTATGTTGCTTGCAGAGTGGATTGCTGATGTGATTTTGCATGTCTTTTGCTTTCTGTAAAATATCTGTTTGTTTCTTTGTCTCTTTTTCATACCAGAGTTGCTTGGAGTTAACTCATGGCATGATGAATTGTTTCCTGTTGTGCAGGCTGTTGTGCTCATATTTTTTTTTTTTGCAGTATTTTAAGTATTCTTGCTTACTTTCAGCAGAATATAACAAACATTTGTGCTAATTTTTCCCAACAGGAGACTTGCAGTCTATTGATTTTTCATATCTGTACTCTTTTCTATTTGTTATATCCCTGTGTGTCTTTGTTAAATGTTGACAATGTCTTTTTCATTCATCCCTAACACTGCTTTTGTATTCCAAATGATCAATTTTTCAAGAAAATAGTTGGTATCGTTACTTCTCTCAGTTCTGAAGGTGCATGGAATTGTTGTAGTATATCATTTAAGTCAGAGGCTGGCAGGCTCATGGCTGATCTCATAAAATGTAGTGATATTTCTTTTCACTCTGGCATGGTTGTCATAGTGATATCTTAATCAGTTTTTAAACTCATAAATCATAAAGTGTATCTTTAAATTTTATATAATATGTTTTCTTATTCATTATTTAGGAACATGAGGAGATAAAGACATTAATTCTAAACAAGAGTAAATTTTTCATCTTCTTTTCTCACCTGGCTCCTATTACGATCATCATTGTTTTCCAAGTTAGCAGCGTCAGTGTTTTTTTTTTAGCTGTGTTTGTCGTAGGTCATGCAACATTGTTTATTATTCCCAACCTCAGCCGTCACAGTGACATGTCTTCTTCTTGTCACCAGGTTGTTCATGAGATTGACACCCTGACTTGTGACCTGCAACTGGAGGAGGACGGACTGACAGACAGCTCTAAGACGGACACGCTCAACTCCAGTTCGAGTTCCACCACCACCACCACCACTGCTTCCAGCCTGGAAAAGATGAAGCTCTTCCCCGATGACTGCATCTTTAAAACACCTGCGCCCATCATCCCGGTCCCTGTCACCCCTCCTGCAGTACTGACTGTACTCAAGAAACCCCACCCGCCCCTACCACCACCGAGACATACCACACTAAGAGCCGAGGATCACAACATTAAGAATCTGCCTCATCCAACATTAGTGTTATCAGGGAATATATCCAAGGCTAACGGGTCTCTGTTGAGGAATGGCGGGGTTTTCCCGTTGAAACCAAACAGGGATTTATTCTCCTCCACACCGTGTTTCATTTCTAGTGACAGCGGGATCCCTGAGTCGGGGCTTGTTCCTACATTGCCTAGACCCATGCCACTACTCCGTCATGAAAAGAACAAATGCCCCAAGGCGCCCGGCAGGGAGCCTCGCGAGAGGGAGCGTGTCCGTTTCAGTGAGAAGGTCCAGTACCACGGTTACTGTCCTGACTGTGACCTCCAATATGATGTAGACGACACAGAACTACACTTACAGGCTGAGCTGAATGACTTGAGGCTCAGCCCAGTGCATTGCTGCTCTTCCTCCTCCCCTCCTCCACCTCATGCTCTTCCTCATGATCTAATGTTGGAAAACGGTGGCCTCTCCGTCAGCCACAGTTTCCCGCCGACAGCAAATACTCCTCCACCTTGTGTGCCTCCTCACCCACCTTCCCTCAAGCCCCAGAAAACAATCCTACGCAAATCAACCACCACAACGGTTTGACACAGAATCCCTTGTTCTGTCCAACTTAAACATTCTTGAATCATTCATAGTGTTTTCTAATTTAAGAGTGCTTTCTACTCCAGTTGAACTTTGGATTATCCAAACAGAGAGAGAGGAAAGGATGGAAAATAGGAAACAAAAGGATGGATAAAGTGAGTGGAATAGCGAGAAAGGCACCGCCATGGGCGCTAAGACGCACGCAGACAGATCAGGAAGAAGCGGTGAGTGTTTGTGCATGTATGAGTGTGTTTGTCAGGAAGAGAAAAGGAGGAAGAAAAAGAGCAGTTGCATGCACTGATGCACACCTGTGAGTCTATGCATACACGTATTTGTTTATGTATATTTATGAGTGTATATATTTGTGGGTAGGTGCATAGATGTATGCGTGCCAAGTATGATGCATGTGTGCTGAGTGTGATGTTTGTAGGCAGTGAGCATTGACTGAAAAATGTACAGGGACTTTAAAATTTTCACGAGAGACTGCTGACAACACTAAAACTAAATTGTATCTGTGTCTTTCTGGAAGCTCTTGGTACTAACGAGTCTCAAACTCAGGAAGTTCTTTCAGAGAGGAGCTCTAATTAATTCATGTCCTTCTGGTTGAAACAAGAAAACCTGCTTCCCTCAGATTTCATCCAAAGCCTTAAGATCTTCCTATACACTGACACCTAAGTAACTCTTTATTGCACACACATGTATTACACATATACACGAGTAAAGGCTGTTACAGGAGACACAAAGAGATACACACAGGTAGTGGAATCTGTACCTTTGCACAAGCCTCTGCAGATGAACAGTTAGGGTTGTGAAATAGATGAGTGAGTTCATTCCTCCTCATCTTGTGTCTTCCTCGCCTCTTGTGGGGGCGAAAATTAGAGAAAATGAGAGTGACTCGGTGGGCTGGGGAAGAGAGAGAGACGTGTTAGTGGACAAAACTGATGGCTTTACAGTAAATTCTACATGAAAAATCTTGTATTTAATTATCAGATATAGTTCATCCACAGGCTGATGTGAACATCGCCACCAATCAGCAGCACTCTGCGTATATACATACACACACACACACACACACACACACACACACACACACATCTGTTTAGAGTTGGAAGCTCGGAGGTTAAGGCTGAAAAGTATGAATAGCACACACTGATGACTCTAAATCCAATGCATGACCCCGCCGGCCTCACAATCTAAAATCAGCGTCTGGATTAGGGATCAGTAGATATTCAGCCATGAGAAATACGAGAAAGATTGAGAGGGTGGCGGGGTAAGGATACAGAGGGAGAAAGAAAATGTGGGACAGAGAGAAAGAAAGAGACAGGGAAAAGAGAGCATGTGTGATGGAGGCAGGCAGAGAGAGAGATGGTGAAAGAGAAACAGTAATGCAGTGGAGGCTAATGGTGTTTGGGCTGTATTGTGTTGCTGCAATGTAGGAGCGTGTGTGGATGCATGTTCGAACTCAAGATGATTGCTCTCAGTGTACAACATTCACTGTATTTACCTTGTATAAATGGATCCTAATGAGTTTGGCAGCAGCATGCTCACACACACAGACACAACAGACACACACACACGCGCGCGCACAAACACACACACACATACACACACACACACACACACACACACACACACACACACACACACACACACACACACACACACACAGTGTTGGTGCAGTGTTTACTAGGTCTGGGTATTGTTCCAAATTTTTCGATACTACTTCCTGTACAACACCTGAGTTTTGGTACTAATACCAAAGAAACCTTTTTTTCTCTAACTTAGAAATACGGCATAAACATATGTATTTATGGGTACTTTTGCACTTTAACAAAATATGCCATTAAGTCGTAGCCTATGAATATTAATATGCTTCCAAAATGTATTTTAAATTTTATATTAAGGTCATTATTTTACATGAATCAATTCAAACCTTAACCAGCTGCCTCATTTTTGTGGAGAGAATGCATTGATGGAAGGCGACTAATGTGTATGCATTGATGGCACCCAGAGCGGGAGGTGGGAGAAACACTTGCACAAGTTGACCAGCTATAGACGCAAAAATGGGTCTGTCAGTTTTGGATTCATCGTTCATTGTTTAATACAGCCATGACTTGTTATCTGATTGTTCCTGTTACACACAAAGCTCTGCTCCTCTGACCATGGTTGTAGGTGTTTTTCACTGTTTTTAAAATGGCTATCTGAGCTCCAGTGCTCCAGGCTTGAGGATGAAGTTGTAATGGGCAAGGAGGAGGTGGATCTTCACCGCCTCCATCATGAGTCAGGACTGACTCAACTGCACTGACCTACTCCCTACAGCTCACAGCTCTAGTTCATAGCCCACCTCTCTCTCTCTCTTTCTCTCTCTCTCTCTGTGTTTCCCTCTCTCTCTTTCTCTCTCTCTCTCTGTGTTTCCCTCTCTCTCTTTCTCTCCCTGACTCTCTCTCTCTCTTTCTTCTTTCTTCTTCTCCCCTTGGATGGTGTTTCACTCCCACTAGGCAGCAGCTGTATGCATAACAATCTCTTCTGTGCACATGTATCTCTATATACATGTGGGTGGGGTAACTATTATTAAAACATATCAGATACTTTGTACAGCGAACACCTTTGGCAGCATTTCCATTTGTATGTTTAATCAAAAGGTCCACTGACTTTGTCTTCCCAGAGCTGCAACAGCCTCTGTATCCCTCACTTCTTACCTTTGGATTACAAATGACCTTCTAGCGATGAAAAAAAAACCTGCTCCTTGATGCTAATGAATTATTGTGTGCCTTTGCTCCTCCATTTTAAAGGTTGCGTGCTTTTGATTTCAACCCCACGTTATGCCAACGTCACTAGTGCGACACCTCATTTAATCAAGTAAATGAGCGAACCTGCTGCTTCCATAATTAATTCAAAATATCATTGAGGTGATTGGTTAGATTGTTACAGCTACATTTGTAAACATAAACCTGTAGCTCTGATTTGTTGTCCTATAACACAATAGTCATATGTGTGCATATAGTGCGTCTCCTAACTGTATTGTCCTCATCCCATTTCCCAACCTGGCAAGTGCACGGTGTGCAATTACACTCAATAAATGTGTCAGAGTGAGACACATTTTGCCAATGAATATTAATTAGCTGTTGTTTCTCTGTCTGATTGTTAGTGGTGATAGTCTGCCAAGAGACACAGTTGTCTGTTTGCTCATCCCCATTCTGCATGCATCATTTACTTAGATTTTTGTTTCCTTCGATCAACTACATTTCATTATGATCACTGAAAAGCATTAAACAAAATGAAAGGTAAATAATTGCGGTGTTGCATGCCAGAGGCATTACATCTGTAATAGAGATACTGTATGCAAAGTTCACTAGAATACAAAATAGACATGACCTACATTGCAAAACATCAGAGCATTCAAAAGTAAATCTGGTGCACATTAAGCATGGATACCGGCTTGTCCTGGTGCTTACAGTATATCTGTGACTCAGACAAAGTTATGATGAAAGTAAGTGGGTGTGTCACACTCATATGCATATATTTTGATATTCAAGCTATACATGTGCATGTGTTTAAAGGTGCATGAGAGTGCAAAAAGGCATGCATGAGTACATGCAGCCATGTGTGTGAGAAAGTCAAAGGGCGTGAGATGGCTCAGTGCAACTTAGAAAGCTATGGTGGTGAAGCAAACTTAATCGGAGGATTTCACGCTCCTTTAGAGATTGTTAAAAGTTAGAGGCATCAGCTGCACCTTACTCAGAGAAGGTAAACAATATCTCAACAACAGGATCAGATTTATAAGAGCCACAATGACCCAGATGGGTCCTCTGCTCAATGAACCAGTCCAGACTTGACTAAGAAAAAACTGAAAAAAAATCACAGCTATTTAAGGAGAGTCAGCCGTCCCTTTTGTCTTTTAACAAAACGGAAGGTTTTAAATTTTTTTTAATCCATAGAGAAAATGTGCCAGACAGTTCAGTGCTATTAACTTTGATGACTTGTGTAAGTGTCTGGATGCTTGTGTGTGGGGAATGGGCATACCTTGGTATATTTTCATTTTGCTCTGTGAAAAGCGACTGTGACTTCTCTGTCAAGTGGCTCTCCTCTGTGCAGTCAGATTTTCACACTAATGTGTTTCCCCTTTTTCCTCTGCAGGACCCATTGAGATACTTGAGATACGAGTGGGAGGGATGCTTGTTTCATACACTGATCGACCCTGGTTGATCGGGGACGGAGGAGCCACAGCTGAGGCCAAGCATCAACCTTCTCTTACATAAAGCACTAATGGCTCTCAATCAACTGGAGACATGATCTTCTAGACAAATTCATACTTGGACTTTTGAGCACTAAACAACCGCCAGGCTCATGTTACTGTGAAACTGAAGCAACAGCAAGGGCAGTCACTGTATGTAAGTGCATACAGATAGATGAAATTATAGTTGTGGAGGGGGTATTTTTGTTACATAGAAATTGTTGAATTAAAGATTAAAACGCTGCTGAAACCCTATCATCAAAAGTGAAGAGGCAAGTTTAAATGAAGAAGTACAAGATGAGGTGAAATGATGTCAGCCACTATGTGATTCATGTCGACACAGACTTCTTCTCTGTGTATACTCAGATGGAAATCAATAGCTCCACTCAACCGATGGAATTTGCCTTTTAAGAATTGTAATTGTTTGTGTCGTGAGAGTTTGACAGGTCTGCCTGTGAGCAAAACAATGCTCTGCTGGACTGCAGATAAGGAGAAAGTGATATTCTGTCAGCGCGTGCCATATGCACAAATCACAGCGTATTTTGGAAAGACTAATGGTTTGAAATGAATGATGACGTGGTCACTGATCTGTGTCCAGACATTATGTTCATTACATCAAAATCTATGTGCTAAATTGGTGCCATGCAAGCTATGTTTTTTTCCACAATAACATGCAGAAATACAGAACAGTGTGGCATAGTTACAGCTTTAAAGGATCCTTGAAGAAATAATAATTTGCATCAGATTTTCTTTGTATACAAATATACATGTACATGTTTGATATCTCTATATTTCAGGCATTTTTCTACAGAGACTTTAACATTTAAAGAGATGATATTTTTGATATTGTTGTGTTGGATGACTGAGAGGTATTTTGACGAAAGCTGACATTCCCTCGAGGTACGTGTTTTTCAGCAGAGCATAGCAGGACGAGTTATTTATATATAGCAACAGAATAGAGTTTGTATGGTTGAAAAACAAGTGCTTCAGTATTATCACTTCAAGAAACTTAACAGAACGGGCTGTACCATGAGAAAGAAAATGTAAGGTGGAGAAGATGAATGGCGTAAACCAAATACCTAGTTGTGCTTTATCAGACAGGAGGCATGGGACTGAATGAATGCATGACTGACTCTTCACTTTGTCCTGCCATCACTGTGTATTTCTATGCATTTCTGTGGAGAGGCTGTCTGTTGGTGGGTCCAACATGCAGGGTGCTCTGCTCTCCATAATACAGAGTTAAGGAGTATTCCCTCTCATTTCCTCATATGATGTCCATCAGGTTGATTCTGCAGTCACTATAAACCTGACAAATTTCCTGGGTATTACCACGCTGCTTAGGCCAATGAGGCATTGGTAATTAAATAATACTATTAAAAGTTTATTTATACAGCACTTATCAAAACCAGAGATTACAGAGTGGTTTATAAGGACAAGATAAAAATAAAGAAACAGAGAACAAAAAGGAAGAATTCTAATATGTATATATAGAGGTGAACTTTTTCAGAAGCCATTTTGGATCAATAAAAGGGTGAAAAACGTACATTGGAGAGCAACAAAAAAAATTCTTTAATACACACAGCCTCTCTCCACATTCAGACTGGAGACACCACACTTGTAAACTCCACCTCTCACTGGACACAGAGACTGAATTCATGACCAAACTCTGGATCAATCAAGAATCAGTTTTAAAGATGATTGGAAAAAAAAAAAGCTGTCCGTGATAGTTTGTTTTGTGTCCACAAACTGTTGGAAAAAAACTTGTGAAAAAGTAAACACTTTGCACTTAATGTTGGTGTGTCTGTGTATATTTTATGGACTGAAAAATCATTTCAACTACAGAGAGTGTTGATGATTTTATGTTTGTATTTTCTATTAGAAACGGTGCTCTTGCAAATTAATCTTTCATAATATCAAAAATCTATGAACTAGGAGTCAAATAGAGGAAATTAAACTGACTGCAAGTGCATCACACTTAATCAAAGCTCCCAAAAAGCAGTGCGAATAAACCTTTCAGAAAGAAAAATACATTAAATAGCATCAGCAGTTACATCAGTTAATTGAAGATTAGCGTGAGGAGATAGCAGGCTGGTGGTGATAAGGCCATCATCTGTCTCCAGATGATATTCTAATGAATTCATAGTGGCCTGTCACGGTCATACACGCTATAACAGTCCACAGCCAGCAGTTCAGGATGAAGGATGTGGTTGTAGCAACAGGGCAGAATGTCACAAGTTCAAATCCATGAACTGGAAAAATCACAACTAGGGTGCATGTGTAACTCACTGCCTTGGTGCCCTTGAGCAAAGCACCCACCTCCAAAGAGGACTGGAATTGTACTGTGCAGCTCTTTGTGGCATATGTGAATGGAAAGCAAATCTTTAGTTGCTTTTAGTTCATGAGTGCTTTGTTGGCATTTCTGTCAATGTACAATTTTGCCAAAGCAGAATAAATGGACACAAAGAGGTGCATACACACACACATACACAAACACACACACACACACACATCATTTATTTGTATTAAACCTTAACTCTAAAGTTCTGTTGTTGGTCGACTCAATTTTGTTTATGCAGGACATGAAGAGAGACTTTCTACATTCTCGCTAAACCTTCCTGCCATAGCAGATCCACACTAACTACTCTATTTTTTTAGGAGCTACAGCTCCTAAGATTGACATTTTGCATGTAAAAGCATATGATCGTCTCATAAAATATGATGCATTGTTAGAGATTAAACTATTCTACAGTATAAAAGTTTTAATTAGCTTTTCTTTTACAAGCTATGGCATTTAAATGTTACTTACGTGTCAATACATCACTGATATAATCTACCGTTGCACTTGCTTTATGCATTTCACTACGTTTTATGTTTATGCCTTGCATATGTTCTGTGTTTTATCTGGCTTTCCCCTTGGAGACAAGAAAGTAGTACATGTTGCTGCCATATCTTTCGTTCAGTGAATGAAATTATGAGTATTTTTACATTGAGGTATTGCCAGTTATTTTCATGATTGATTTACCAGACGTTTTTTTTTTTATTAACTGAGACAAAGAATGGCACATTTGAGAGGCTGGAACAAGAGAATGACGGATGTATCAAAACAGCTGTAGATTAATATTCGGTCAGTCAATAAATCAATTCATTGTTTCAGCTCTACAAATATTACTCAAGTAAAAAAAACTAACTGCAGTGGTGGATAAAGACAAACAGTAAAGGTTAAAGAATAAATGTTGAATAGATGTCAAAAATGTCAGACGCAGTCATTCACTTTTCCATCCAGACAAAAGTAGACCAGGTCTACGTTTAAAAAATCCTGCATTTATATTTGTCAAAACTGGCCATAATGACCAAGTAGACTCCAGTAACTCCAAGATTTGTGAAACCTTTGGTTTGTGAAAACCACAAGACCTCAACCACATTAACCCAGAGAAGCTAAAGACTGATAAAAACACAGTTTCAGTTTTGTGAAAGTTTTATCCTATTTGTGAAAACACCAGAGAAGCAATTTAGCAACTAGATAAAAGCCACTATAGTTACTCTTGTCATATCTGGACCATATTAACCGCGAGAAGCTATAAAGAGTGTAAAACACTGTTTCAGATTAGTGAAAACACAATAATTGATATTTCACTGTTTTTTTTCCAACCAGACCACATTGTACCAGGTCTAGATCTAAAACCACCATAGCCTACTTAATCTTGTTAAATCTGGACTAGATTAACAAAGAGTGTAAAGACTATTTAAAACACTGTTTTAGATTTGTGAAACATTTATTCTATTTGTGAGGACACAAAAAAGGGCCATTTCACTGTTTTTCCCCAACCAGACCACATTTTGTACCAGGTCTCGATCTAAAACCACTAATACACTTGTCAAATTCTGGACCACATTAACCAAGAGAATCCTGTTTAAAAGACAGTTTCAGATTTGTGAAACCGAAGCATCCATGGTCCATCCGTGCAGGTGTAGCGGCAGAAGCAGCAGCAGCCGGTGGCAGCTGCCCACATGCCGCATTTCCAAGGGCAAAGACGTGGTGCGCTTGTTTTATGTTACCGCTCATCCGTATGCCAAACGACTAACCAGGACGGCAGCAAGGCTGTAATGAAAATCCCTCCCAGTCCAGCTCGCCGCGTACCATATAACATGTACCCTCCCCGCAGGTCACGTGACAGTGAAGAAACGAAGAAAAAAAGAAAGCCAGAAGGAAGAGAGATAAAGGGGGAAAAATAAACAACGGGGGAATATCAGCCTGACAGAGGGAGGCGTCTTCATCTGAAGGTATTAATTAGTGACGCTTAGCTTCTTAGCTTAATGTTATCATAATGTGTGGTTTAAACTCACTGCCAGAGTACAGCTCTGTTAGCTGGTGAACTCAAAATGCTGACGCTGGATGCACATTTGTATTCACCAAAAGTGGCTAAATGCGTTGGCACAGAGTCGTGCTTTCAGACAGTGTAGCGTACATCTGTAGCATTGTGTGTGTATTAACTGAACGTGTTATTTCTGTAGCCCGAGACAAACCCCCACAAAGTGCTGATGTGTCAAAATCTTGTGACCAGTCAGCCCGCTTGAGACTGAATCATTCGTCCAAAACACGATTAGCTCGCAGAGAGGTGGAAAAAACAGCTCATATCTGTAACATGTCAGCCTCTCGTGTCTGAAACCAGCTAACCGTCATTTCCACTCGGGGGCTCGTGGGAACCAGCGACACTTCAGTCCTGTCGTGTCGCAGCTGGTCAACCCGTGGATGTAACTGACAGTTTTGTTGTGAGCATAAGTGTGTAATACGCCTGAAACCGTTGTCTCCTCTAGCCTTCATGAGGACAGACGGAGGGAGACAAAAGAAGATGGAGATATGATAAGTTGTGAGCTCCTGATGTGACGGGAGGACAGGGGTGGATGGCAGCTGGATATGAGAAAAACACGTAAGTACAAAAAGCGTAGTTTGATAGCATTTCGTCCGGTCAGCAACACAGACAAATTAATTAGAATAAATAAGGTGCTAGCTGAAGTTACCAGCCTTACTTTAACCTAACTGCTTCCTTCTTATCAGATTAAAATTGGATTAGTTGTTGTTTACACAGTTTGAGCCCTAGCTTACCATTGAACATGTGATTACAGAGCAAATAACCCAACAATTTCTCACAGTAGTACAAGTCAGCCTTTCAAGGTGGCCTACTTTTGCACCGGATCAAGTCTATCCAGTATCTCTTCTGTAATATACTACATTTTGATTTTGGCAACAGTGTGTATTAGATTATGTCTGCACACTTGTTCTGTGACATATCAAATGAAAATAAAAGATCAGTATTTATGCTGCCAGGATGGCTCAGCAAGGAGGAGACCAGAGGATGTAGGTTGAAGTCTGGTTGGCATGCATCTGCTCCCTCTAACTCTTTTTTCTTTCTTTCTTTTTTTCTTGTTGCTGACCCCCCTGCCCTGACTTCCTCTTAACAGGAGCAGAGCAAAAACACATTCTTAGTATTGCTGTATTACCATGTCAATAAACTAAAAGTGTACATCATGAAGTACTGAGAGCAGATTTCTCTTTCAGCAACCACTGATTAGTACAACTTAAAACAGAAAATGCAACTAATAAGAAAAATGTGCTGGTGCAGTGACTCATTGTAAATAAAAGCTGCAGACTCTTGTTGCATCCTTGAATATGGCTTAATCCATTTAACCTTGGAGATGACCTCTGTCTTTACGTTGTTCTTTAGGTAAATAAAGTATCCTCTGAGGAAAAGGAGAAGGGGAGAAGATGAAGCTGAATGAACGCAGCGTGGCGCACTATGCCACCTGTGACTCACCGCCAGACAAGACAGGCTTCCTGTTCAAAAAGGGTGAGCGCAACACAGCTTATCACCGGCGCTGGTTTGTCCTGAAGGGTAACATGCTCTTCTACTTTGAGGAGCGCGAAAGCCGAGAGCCTATCGGTGTCATTGTCCTTGAGGGATGCACTGTGGAGCTGTGCGAGTCAGCTGAGGAGTTCGCCTTCGCGATCAAATTTGACTGTGCCAAAGCACGGGTGTACAAGATGGCTGCTGAAAGCCAGGCAGCCATGGAGTCATGGGTGAAAGCGCTGTCCCGGGCCAGCTTCGACTACATGAGGCTGGTGGTGAAGGAGCTGGAGAGGCAGCTGGAGGAGATCCAGGAGGTTGCAGGAGGTGGCTCTGTCGGGTCTGGAGTTGTAGGCTTGCAGGGCAAGCCTAAGTCCTCCAGGCGAAACCAGGTGGCACGGTCCAGGTCTGGAGCATGCTCTTCTTCATCATCGTTATCTTCCTTATCATCATCATCATCAAGTGCCGCTCCGATGTCAGGCCCCTTCTCTGCTCAAAAGGGCATCCAGGATGAGGTGCAGCTCATCTCTGGGTGTTCCAAAGAGAATGGAGTTGCGTGGAGTAAACCACCAGTTGCCTTGGCTAACGGTTTTGTTGAGGGAGGGTCTTCCTGCGTGGCCTGGGAAGGCTATGGAGACTCTGGGAATGGCAGTGTGATTGGTTATGGGGCTGATGGGGTGAGGGCTCCACCGGTGCCACCCAGAAGAAGGGGAGCATCTCTGGAAAGCCCGGTCTCCCCTGGCACTGGCTGCTTCTCCAAACTCCATGACTGGTACGGCAAAGAGGTGGAGGAACTGAGGGTGCAGTGGCTGCAGAGCCAGTAAACTGATGGAAATTGATCAGTTCTTTTTCCACAGTTCCATCATTCATTCTTGAACATCCTGAAATGTTAACACCCTTCTGAACCCAACACTACGGGGAGGGAACTGTGACTTAATTGCAAATTGCAGTCTTATCACCAATCAAAAAAGACAAATAAAAATTTCAGATTGATTCCAGATCTTGTCTGGCACAGGGGAATCAATCGCTCTTAAAGAATAACACTATCCATTGTACAATCCCTTAAAGTTAAAAATACATGTAAAATACAAAAATGCTCTTTTCCACAGTTTTGTGTGATTTGTCAAGGACATGTAAAAATGCTAAAAGTACAGTTTTTAAAATAATCTGTTTTTCTAACAAGATGCAAAGAGTTTGGCCTTCTAGTAGATAAAACTCCGAAAAATATTCTGTTCTATTATTATACTGTCAAGATTTCTTCTGCCCTTCTAGCTTCCGAACGTACTTCTGGGGATGTAATTTTGGGGTCAGTTTTCTTTAAAGCTATAGAGACCTTGAGTCATGTTTTTCTATAGTTACACATAAATAAACAAATCACCACAGTTAAGTATTTTTCTAATGGAAGGGAAAGGCCCTGGATGGTTTTTGTTAAATGCAAAGGAAATAACAAATTACAGGTTGCTATAGTGATACATTAACCATAGGACATAGAAAACACTGCAGCTGTATGACTGAAGTCCCCATGTGGTGATGTCAAAGCTTTCCCCTGTCGGAGATGAAACAATGCACAACTGTTTGGAACAAAGTGTTTGAATCTGGAAATTAAGAAGATAAGATAAAGAGGTAAAGAAACAGCAGAGCAGAGACAACTGAACGGTTGGTGATATTTTTACAATCTAATGGCATGAGCACCAGGACAACTCGCATCTAAATTCATGATTTCGAGTTTCCTGCAACTTTGAACCGCCTCAACACTGAGATCATTTTAATATACACACTTATAAAGAATCGTGGATAGTCTGGAAATAAGAAGTGGTGTTGGAGAAAAACTAGTCCAGATTCTCCTCCATACTCCCACCGGGGCATATCTCGCCCCAGAGGCCTTGTGGTTTGCTAATGTCAGAACATCCTCTCGACAGTCACTGGGGACTGTGGTGGGAGCTGGATGTCTAGCTCAGAGCAACACACCCCGGTATTTTTAGCCCTTGTTAGCCAGCGGCCAGATGATGCTGTTTCATAAGAGTGCTTGTCACTTAGTTCTCTTTTGACTCTCTTTATCCTTGAACTTACAGGACTTAACATTTGTCTTCATAATCCTCTGATAATTTCATGTTACACAATCAAATCATCTTAATTTTATGCAACTGTTGGTTTTGTTTGTTACAACATATTAACCCTTAATGTTACTGAATGAGTGTAACTGTTGGAGGCCTATACTGTACGTGAACATCTAACCTCTTGGTTTTTATACAAATATTTACTATTCCATGTTGGAAATTAACACCAGCAGTCTGCATCCAATCACATAGCCGTTTACATTTTTGTTTTATAGGTGCCTTATTTTATCTTTATAATGTTATTGCACTCGCAACCATTATCATAGGACCACAACGATGGGAGGGTTAACTTTTGACTCTTTTTCCACTGTACTGCTGTTATTTTTTTTCTATTTTCTTGCCAAAGGCTCATCTCTGCAATCACTTTTTGACAATGGCTCAGCTCCCTCAGTCTGCATCAATGCACAGCACTGTCATTACTGTTATACTCTTGGCTTGTGCAGAAATGACGATGTGGGAAGGAGTGGTACAGTGTGGATTGTGTTTCTTTAAAACAGCAATATCAAAGCAGCATCTAAATTTATGGTTGTATTATTGCCAATTGTATCAATTCCAGAAGTCTATTACTGTAATCACAGAAGACAATAATCTTTTTTACAATAATATTCAAAGGAATATGTGAATGTGTCAAAAATAACCATATAAATGATAGTAGTATCTATCTTTATTCAAGTGTGCCAAATGAGGAATGCAACCTAAATGCACAATAACCAATTTGTCAGTTTTTTTTTCATTAACTTTTATGATTCTAGTAACAATTTTCAATGTTATAATACACATTGAGTATTATATTGAATAATAAATAATATTTAACACATTGTCTTGATATGGTACCCTGAAAAGATGTTTGTTAATGAAGAATGAAGCATTTGCTGTAAACAGCTCAATAAACTGTTAATATGTTATGTTGTGAGTTTTTCTATTATCACAATATCTGCTGAAGTTTAGTTGTCTTTATTTATAATAATGTTACTTATGTGAAAGCCAAGTTTTTACTCACTAGTATGGCTGATGTTAGCATTAGATGTTCTTGTTATTCTTTTTAAAGAAAAGAGCAGTGTGGTGGGTCCTCTGCGCTCATGCAGGGGTCTGGGCTGGCCTTATGAAACCACGTACATTCTTGGTGCTGTTCAGCCTGTCTCTCACAAGGTGTCGCTGTGCAACAATTTTAGGCAGTAGTCTTAACCCCCTGACATCAGGTAAATCGATGACTAGTTTACACCTTTTGGGACAGGGCTGGAGACAAACTAGCAAAGGTTTGGATCTCCAGAGAAGAACAAAAACATTTTCAAATGTGAACCTGCATAAACTGTGTGTTTAAAATTTCCTTGTTCTTCTTAAATATACAATATTAGTATTAATACAGACAAAGTATCGTTACTTCATATTATATACTATTCTGGTTGATGCTGTTATAGGACATGGTATCCTCTTACTCGTAGATAATATACTTTGTAATATACTTTGCTGCTATAATTACATCACTATCACACTTCACTTGAGTCAGTACTGCACTATTAATTTATTTTATTTTATATACTTATATTTTTTTGACCTCTTGACCCACAGGTTTCAATACATTATTTCTGTATTTTATTTATCTTTTTACTTCTGTCTGTTCATCTGTACTTTTTCTATTCTTGTTCTGAACCTGAACTTCTTCTCTGAAGATCAGTAAAAGCTTATCTTATCTTGTATGTGGTAAGCGCTTAGTAAAACATTTTTGTCATCAATGGGAAGATCAGAAACATGGAAGATAAACGTGATGTTTAACTTGTCTCCTTGCACGGTAGGTCAGTATGGTGTATTTAGTTGCACAGTGTTACACCACTTGACTTGAAGTTGATAGAAATGTTTTTCTTAATCCGCCTTTGTTCTGTAATGGTCAATCAGTTTAAGGAATTATTATAACCAGATTTTAGACTATATGATAGGAGCAATGTAGGATGTGAAACCATAGAAATAACTATTGAAGGACTGACAGACACCTATGGTTTACAGTAACAGAACTAAATGTACAGTATCTCAAAAGACCTGTTGATAGAGTCTGGACAGTTTCTGCATCTTGCACGTACTGTACTTGTCAATGGGGCAACTGGCTGCAGACAACACAAAGTTTCCTGTCTGATAATTTCAACATAAGAGTTCTGCAATAATACAGCTCTGCCATAATATCAATTTTTTTCTAACACACTGTGACCTCAGTGGTAAAACATATCATTTAATTGTTACCTCTATAATAGTCTCAACAAAAACTTTGCATTATGCACATCATAAAAGTTAAATTCATGACAGAATGTTTGTATTGGACAGCATTAGACTCTACAGGTGTACCTAATCAAATGGACACCAAGTGTATGTGAGGTAGAGGACGTGTTTTCCACAGACATATCATTCGTTAATATATTAATAAAATTCAGCTGAATAAGCTTGTTGCAATTTATGTCTGACTTATCACAGTCCCCTGTATAGTTGGGTTTACATGACAGTGTATTTCGTAGTATAATTTATTGGATTAGACATATTGTGTTACCAAAATTAATATGTGCCTGTCTATGAAATCAAATAAAAATCTGGGCAAAGGATTTGCAACTTCCAAGAAAGCAATAGTCATCATTTAACTACTTAAGCCAACGGGCATTGACAGAAAGAGCAAGAGTCGTATAATATTTGCCTTTTCCTAGTAAAATTTTAAAAATGGTCTATTAAATCTATTAACCATTCTACGATCTTGCAGATATTAGACCCTTTAATGCTTGATAAAAGGCACATGTTGACATATAAATTAACTGCACCAGTTACAACGAGTCACAGTGGCATGTTTAAAAAAAGAAAAGCTAAACTACTTCTTGAAGGTGGACAGTGTTTAGAATTTTCACTTCACAGCAATACCACACTGTGAAATACTAAATTAAAAGTTCTTTGTTACAAATTTTACTAAAGCAAAAGTACTAGAGTGGGTGTCATCAGAAAAAAAATGTATTGCAGGAATAGGACTAAATCATCCACCTATGTCAACTATGTCTCAGAGGTCATTTGTGCCCAGGGGCCCCCTAGTGGGTTAATCCGGCCCTGGTTACTGGTGCCTCCTCTTGGTATACGTCTCTTATTTTGAAAAGACGGATTGGGAAGTGATGTTTTGAATTTCCTCTAACTTGACAAAGCTGGACCGCGGCACATTTTTTTTGACAGCGGAAATGAGGAGTCGCCACTTTTTCCGCGTCAAGTTCGTGGCTGAAAGTTTTCTTTCCTCCTTTTTTTTCCTCTCTGTGTGCGGAGGAACCGTCGCATGCACGCACAATGAGAACGAAAGCGACGGGTTTTTTTAGCATGCAGCTTTCTCCTCTGATGCCCAGTGTCTGTTGGTCCTCGCCGACGTCGTTTTGAGTTACTTTAGATGCTTCTCAACACATTTCCGTTATGCGAAGTCCAACTTGTTGGTTAGTTGTCGTGCTGCGGTGGGTGCCCATCCGAGATAACGGAGAACGTGAGTATGTTGTGAGGACTGAGCTCCTGTCAGCTTTTATTACTTTCCTGTCTCAAAGTGCTAATAACATCACTAAACTCTTAACCACATGTGGGATAATTGCAAAATGACGAACCGCAGCAGTAATGTGGACAAAGCTTCCGTCCAAAATTACATATTTTTTTCTTCACTAATCGTCGAAAAAAAAGTGCTCGTGTGAAATTTAAAGGGCTTTTGCCTCTCTCCGGCTCGGGGCCGGTGCTGCAGGCGCAGACTTTTTGTCTTACGCAGAAGTTTTCTTTTAAAAAAAAAAAAAAAAAAAAAAAAAAATAGGGCCCTATCATACCACCAACAAGGCTGGATTACCGACTGGGCAAAGTGGATAATTGCCCAGGGGCCCCAGACCCATAGGGGCCCCAAAAGCCATAGGTTTACTCTACTTTATTTCTATGTTCTATATCTACGTTAGAAATGTGCAGCACTGAAGCAGAATCTCAGAATCTGCTTTCAATACCTTATGATGTTTGAGTTATATTGAGCTCATTTGTTGTAAAGTTATGTTTTACCAAATCACTTTACTCTTTTTTTTTCATGCAGAGTAATTTACACACAGAAAACCTTGGACAAAGTATTCGAGAACTTTAAGGCTGCAACCAACTATTATATCCATTGTCAATACATCTGACGGCTATATACTAATCAATTGACCGTTCAGTGTATAAAGTGCTGGAAAATAGTGAAATATGCCCATTTTTATTCCCTGAAGCCCAAGTTCACATGGTCAAATCTCCTTTTTTTTTGTCTGACCAACAGTCCAAAACCCAAAGATGTTGAGTTTATTATCATAGAAAGCTATGAAACTTGCAAATGTTCAGATTTTAGAAGCAGGTACCAGATCATTTTCAGAATTTCTGCTTAAAACATGACTTAATGACAGTTAATCGATTGTCCAAATTGTTGCCGTTAAATTTCTGTGAATCAACTAATCAGTTGAGCCCTAGACCGCTGGTTGGTTTTGTGGGTGCCAGAAGAAGTAATGAAACTTCCATGTGTAGTAGAGTCAAGAGGGGTCCGACAACACAATTTTCCCTCTGTGCCCCTCAGGAGATTAATCCAGCCGTGGCCACCAAGCAGGGTTTTTCTGCCTTTGAAATGCTTGGCATCACATCATGGGGGACAGTTGGCACAAAAGATGTACACAACATGTGCTTGATGTAACTTAGTAGTATCTTAAGTGTACTTGAACATCTGTGACATTTTCAACATTATTTGGCACCAAACTATTAGTGGTCACCATGGTGATGTCTCAGGTCCTCCCTCATGACTGCTGGATGGAGAACAGGAACAAATGGGGAGCAGCCACTTGGTTTCACAATCCAGTGTTGTGTAGCAGCAAATCAAAACAGTAATTTTGGTGTGTGTGTGTGTGTGTGTGTGTGTGTGTGTGTGTTGGAAAGGATTCACTTCTATTCATATCTCCTGTGTGCGCACGCATAAATACAGGTTGGTGTACAGGAGGTGCCCCGTCACTGTCTGTTTGCTTAGAGACTCTCAGGCTACAGGTGTGTAGTTGTGGTGGTTCCCAAAACTAAAATAGCTGAACAGTTGGCAGGGGTGGCAGCTATTGATAAAATCCTTCATACAGTGGTGGAAAATAACAATGTATCATTCAAACACTGTACTTGAGTACAATTTTGGGATACTTTAATAGTACTGCATTAAGATTTTTGATACATGTTGTGTATAATATCTTTATACTTTTGATACAGGACTTTTACTGGTAACTTAGTTAGGTAAAGGTAGTAATAGCAAAGTGTAAAAACACTAAGGGTTTGTCAAATAATCCATTATACAGCTGCAGCTAATGATTATTTTCACTATTAATAAATACGTCAGTTCTTTTTCTGATTAATTGATTAATCCCTTATACATGCATTTCCTGGAAAATCAATTGACAAACTGTAAATTGATACAGTCAGTGATGTATGATTTATATATGTTTTGATGTCTGTTAATCCTGCCAATGAAACACCTGACAAATTAGAGATGGTGAAAACACATTGAGAGTGTACATATTTATCAGTAATGGAGTAATGTCAGCAACAGGCTGAAGGTGACACTCTTTGTTGGTTCAGTCATTTAGATGTGAGAGTTGTCACACCTTCAGTCATTAAAGCACAAAAGACAGAAAAAACATGCCTCTCGGGTGGGGAAGTAACGCCAGCTACACTGTACTTAATGTTTTCCATGGCAGACAGGCTTAACCCCAGACAAAAGGTTGACTATAATTTAAAGGTCCAGTGCAGTTTCACACACCTAATTGGCCTGTATATTCTCAAGTGTGTCTGATGAATTTCAGAAATGTTTTTACTTCCCCACAGACCTCCTTGGTTTTTGACAGTTGGACATTTTGGTGCTGTCTTTACTTCTCTTTTGCTCAGTGTGGTATAGACAAGAGAAGTTCTGTTCTGCCTGCATAAATGTGCACGTGGACCCATACACAGCCTAATATTATTAAAAAAAAAAAAAAAAAAAGATATATAAGAGAGAGATTTCCCCTTGGTTTTTGACAGTTGGACATTTTGGTGCTGTCTTTATTCTCTTTTGCTTCAGTTGGTATAGACAAGAGAAGTTCTGTTTCTGCCTGCATAAATGTGCACGTGGACCCATACACAGCCTAAATATTATTAAAAAAAAAAAAAAAAAAAAAGATAATATATATATTATATAATATTATATATATATAAAATAT